TCATCCACAAGGTATCCAATCTTGAGAAATTCGACCAAAAGTCACATCCTTATGCAGCTTGAGTTTTTACAATCAAACTCTTGAAGTTGGCTCATATGTAACAGGTCTTTAATGTATGAAAAGTTTGTTATGTCAGTTTTGGCAGAGATAACTCTTCGTCTTGAAGAAGAGGAACTGGTTTTTCATCCAATATGTCTAGATCTTGACCTTTCCACCCATAACATCTAGGACTACTCAACCTAAACCTCTTAGGCTATAGCAGAAAGGAGACAACCAGACTTCTTCTCTAGAAGAGGTTTTTTATTTTCGATAGTGGTAAAGGAAAGAAAAAAGTTTCTTTAGAAGAAAAAATAACTTGACAAGCTCTCAAATTGTCTCATTAAAATTTCCTAAAAAGAAAAGTTTTTCAAATGTTTAAGGGGAACGGGAAAGAGTTTTTGAATTGCCAATATATTTCAGAATTTTTGAAAATATTATATAATTAATTAGTAATATAATAAAAGCAAAAAAATTATTATATTTGTATTTAACTCTTTTTAAAAAAAGAAATACATATTATATTAATAAAATTATAATATTGAAATTGCAAGTTTAAAATCATAATAGAATTTTATAAAATTTTGAAAAGTTATTAAATATGTTAAAATATTTTAAAATGTTCTAAGAGTTTTTGATAATACTGTATATAGTGTAGCAAAAATGAAAAAATATATTGTTTTTATTAAAATATTTATTTTTATTTTTATTTTTTTTTCAAGTTCTAGTTTTTAAATATTTTTAAATATTATATATTATTGAATTCTTTTAGCATTAAATAAAATTGAATAATTATAATTTATAACAATAAGTTCTCAATATAAATAGTTATATATATTTTTTATTAATAAAAAATTCTAAAAAAAAAATAAATCTTATTATAAAAAATAATAAAATTTTCAAAATATTGTAAGAGTGCAAAAAAATTAGATAAATTCAACATATATTATCCTCATCTAATTAGAATTTAATTGGGGCTTGAGGAATTTTTGGGATTTTTGAAATTTTATAATATGTATATAAAAAGAGAAATATACAAGAGACAAAGCAACAATAAAAGATTGTTCTTTTTACCATAAAACTCAGATTACCATCTAACACTTTCACTTATCTCATATCACATCTCTATGCCTCTTCCAACGTTACATGATCAGTGATCACAATGTAGCAACAGACTTACTGTTACAAACCTCCAACAATATCTATCTTTGAAATTGATAAAAAATTTTTTTATTAATTTATAAAAATATCAAAAGGTTAAAAAATAATATTTAAAATGAATGAATAAATAAAAATTAAAAAGTAATATTTGAATTTTTATTTAATAATTATAATATCAATAAAATTTATTTATAAAAACAAATATCATTTAATATTATAATATAAAAAATACAAATATATATATACTGTATATCATTAAAATTAAAATTTGTTTTAATAAGTATCATCATTAATCTTTTTGATTAATTCTAATATTTTTTTTGTATAAAAGTATCAAATCAATTTTTTTGAACATTATGTTAATTGGTTTTGATATTATGTAGTTATATATTTTATTTTAAACAATTTTTAAGTTTGATATTATAGTATTGATTTTAATATTGCATCAAACGTTTTAAAAAAACTTCTTTAATTGAAATTAAATATATCGTATATATATCGTATATAAAAATATATTTATAATATAGAAAATTTTTAATTCAAATATATTATACAGTAAATCTTTATTTTTGTGTTCGTGTAACGTATGCAATGCATTTAAATAATATTTAAAAGAGATCAAATATTCAAATATGCTACCACTTGATTATGAAGTTTGTCCCGAATGCAATTATAAATCTTTAGCATTTGGTTTCTGCATTTCATGTCATAGAATTCGATTTCTACAAGATTTTGGAAAATGGACAAGTGGAGATAAAAAAATTGACGAATTTATACAAATGTCTCAACTACAAATTAATCGTCGGGCCGAAATGTTTGAATGGATACCGTATACACAATTTCAAGACGTCAAATATATCGCTAAAGGAGGATATGGTACTGTGTATTCTGCGACATGGAAAGATGGTAATATTTATGGATGGGATGTTTCCAATAAGAAATGGAACAGAGAACCTGATATTAAAGTAGCATTAAAAAGTTTAGATAAGCTTAACTCAATTGACAATCTTATAAATGAGGTACTGACATATTAAACCTCGTTTAACTACAGTTTTATTTACTAAATATAATTTATTTTAAATTCTAGATCAAAAAACATCTTTCTCTGTGGGAACTGTATGTTGTTAGGTGTTATGGAATTACGCAACAACCCGAGTCCTTATGTTATATGATGGTTTTGGAGTTTCAAGCTAATGGCAGTCTTAGGAAATTCTTGGACGAAAATTTTTACGAGATGAATTTGAGTTTAAAACTGGTGTCATTGAGAGATATTTCAGGTGGTTTAAATCTTATACACGGAAAGGAATTAGTTCATGGAGACTTTCATCCTGGAAATCTTCTATATGCTAGTGATTTATTGTTATTTATCTCAGATTTAGGTCTTTGTAAATTTTTTAATGAAAACTCAACACGTCAAGAAATTTATGGAGTTCTTCCATACATTGCACCCGAAGTCTTATGTGGTGATGCTTACACACCGGCAGCAGATATTTATTCATTTGGAATTGTAGCATATGAAATGATCACGGGATTTCCCCCATACTATAATATTCCTCATGATCAAGATCTTGCTGTACAAATCTGTCAAGGCTTACGTCCAAAAATTCCATTCAAAACTCCAAAATTTTTAGTTAGATTAATAATGCAATGTTGGGATGCAAGGCCGTCTTGTCGACCCAATGCTGGTGAGTTGTGGGATACTATAACTGAATATAAAGGATTGATCGAAAGTGATGAACCTTCGGATATTAAGGAACAAGTTAAAGATTACGAAACTGAATTTTCAAAAGAATTTCTAACTAGTAAATCATCGGGACTTAATTATGAAACGCACCCAAATGCTTTTTATACTAGTAGACTTTTGAGCCTTTCAAATTTATCACAACCAATAAACTCCCCTGATCATGAGAGAGTACTTGAAATGTTGTCGGATAACAATGCAGGTAAACATATTAAAGTTAATATAAGATTCGTTACTTTCTAAATTTTATTATTGTAACAAGTTTTAACTTTAATAATCTATTTAGCAGACACAAGTTTATATAAACTCAAATTATTGTAGCGTTTTAGGTATTTTTGAATTATTTAAGAAAACATCTTTTACGGTGGACAAAACGACTACTGCACCATGACATTCGACAACGAACAGATTATTTGTAACAGTTTGTGGAGTCAAAGACTCGGATAAAGAAAAAATTTTTAAATGAAATAAGCCTTGACCTTTAAATTAGATTTCAGTTAGTGGTGTCAATATCCTCTTTTTTTTTTTTTATCATCTAGTATTTACTGATTTTGCAAGATAAATTATAAACTTGCGACTTTATTGAAAATTTTAAATAATTATTAATAAAATATTGGAGCTAAGATTATGGAAATTATAATTTAAAATCTGTCAGTTTAAAAATTTTTTTAAATTTTTTTACGTATTATACGTTAACTGCAACCTTTAGATATTCATCAAATTCAAGTAATTTATGAGACAAACCTATCATATTTGATATTTTCTAGTACTGATTTTTATATGATTATTTAACAGACTACTGTATTACTATTGTAATTATTTCCTTAACTATTATTTGTTATTGACAACTAAGTCGAATAAGTATGATATTATTATAAGTGCGTGATGCGGTAACCCATCTGCGCACCTCAAAGAATAGCGTTGCAAAAAATTAGGCAAAGTCCTATATTGTATTTTCGAATGAATTTAAATAATAAGATTTAAATATAAAAATTCAATTGATTTTAAAATTCAAATAACAATTAATTACATCAATAACAAATAGATCAATTTTTTTAAATTTAATTTAGAATTATATCTTTAATGTATAAATTGTTTTGAATAAAGTTTAATAAAAAAAGCAAATGATAATAACAATGTTGTATTATTTTAACCAATATTTTTAACACAAATATATTTAATTTTGCAATTTATAAAAACCCAATATCGAAATAAAAAATAAATAATAAATCAAGTAATTTAAATTTAAATGCATATTTCTTTTGAATAATTTTAAAAAATTTTAATAATATTTATGTTATAAAATATGTTTTTTTAATTGTGAATTATATTTTATTTGATTTTTAAAATTTAAATTATTATACTGTATATATAAGTTTATATGATTTTAGATACTGTAATTTAAAATTTAAAATTGTATATCTAAACTTGGTTAATTTAGTAATAATAATTATTATTTGTTTTTATTATTTTATTAATTTCTTTATTTATATTATTTATATAATTTTTTACATTACAGTAATTCATATACAGTATATACTCTATATATCAAATTAAAAATATAAAAAAAACTTTTTTGATTCATTTTTGCACTTTTAAAAAAAATACTAAACCCAATTAATTTATTTCATATAAAATTTAAATACAATATTTGTTTAATGCAATCCAAATATAGTATTTACAAAAATCAATTTAATCTAAATATTAATAATATGTCAAGTATTTAAGGTCAAATGAAATAAGTAAATGATATTAAAATTTTAAAAATTTCAACTATTGTATATTTAATTAGATAATGCTTTATTAGACAAATCCCCAATACATTCAAAATCATAAAAGTAGGAAAAATAAAATAAAATTTACAAAAAATCATTTTTTATTAAAAAATAAAATTAGTGAAATTCTCAAAACAACAAAAAAATAATCACAAATTAAACCAATTTAGTTTCATAATAAAAAAAAAAATTTTTTTTTTGAATACTTTGTTCAAGATATTGAAGAATTTTTATCGTGTTTTAATATACCGTATTTCTATCAAAAATACTTGATCCTCATTTTCGATCTATCTTTTCTTGCATTTTCCCTTTAAAATCTTTTTAATGATCTTTTTCATATTTACAAAAAAACTTTTTTTATCCTCAATCACCTCACCCTCTTTTTCCACCTTATTTTCCATTTCTTTATCTGAAATACCATCCATATTTTTCAGTGCATTGTTGATCTTAGAAATCTCTTCTTCCGAGTTCATTTCCGGAGCAAAATTGGTTGGCGTATTCGACGGTACGTTAAGAATAGAGAAGGAATTTGTACTTTTAGAAGTGAATTCATCAACATTTGAGCCTTCACCGTCACCGCATAGCTCACGGCATAAATTTATGCGATTTAGTGCTTTCTCATCACCTAATAATCCATTGATATTCGATGGACCGCTATTCAAGCCACTTTCACTTATAGTTACAGAGGAAGAAGCTTGCGAATTTTCTCTCTCAAAATCATCGAAAACCAACGAATCTGGTGATCCAGAATGGTTGTCAGGAAAAATAGTAGCATTCATTCTGGAAAGAAAAATGAAAAATTTTTCAATGAGCATGAGAGGTATGAAAGAAATACCATTTTGTAAACTTACTATCTCCTGTTACTCACGAAATGACAAAAAATTTTATAGAATTATTTTTATTAGAGGGTTTAAGTAAATTCAAAAAAGAAAAGCAAACTGATTAAAGAAAGTAGTATACTATATACTTTATCAAAACCGTAGTTTAAAATTTTCAGTGGTTTTGATTTAGTATTATAAGCTTGCGTGAAGTAAAATACACAAAATATCAGTTACACTACCAAGTTCTTATTTAATATACGTAGAAGTAGGATATCAAAAAATTCGTTATGTAAAAAAAAAATAACCATATCATTCAACAGTACTAATTAAAAATAATATGAATAAATGTTGTCGCACTCACAGTAAGTCTGAAGCTAATACTTAAAAGTTGTGCGCGCAAAATTTGACTCTATTATTAATTTATAATTATCACCGTGTTTCGCGGCGATGATCATTGTCGCGTAACGCTGACCGCGTTCTGGGGTTCTCTAACAAATGCACCGTATATTGTTAGGAGTTAAATAACGAATTGGTCGCTTATTGACAAAAGACATCATCTGATGATCGAAAGAGGGGATTTTTACTTGGTCAATGCAAACATATTTCGCTATATAAAATATTGAAGGTTTGTTCATATAGACTTCGTTATGCAAAAACAACGCCTTATATTGTGCGTTTTATTAAAAAAAAAACCTAGTTGAGTTTGTATTGGTAAAACATGTGCTATAAACATTAATAGTAAATATAAGCTGTTCGAATTAACTCCAAGCAAATTATTCGTTTTTCCAATTCTGATACCAACAAACATTACTGAGCATTATTGAGTATTTTATTTTTCATTACCATCTAAATTTTGTCAAATACAAAATCCTAATTCATAGTGTTGAATATCTTGTCTAGTATACTTTTGTTTCTATTTCCTTTTTGACTTAAGCAATAAATTACTTTAATTTGTTCTATAAAATTAAAATAAGAAAGATCAACGAGGCTCAATATTATTTAACTAATAAAATATAACCAAAAAAAAACTGGATGGTTGAATGGTCACATCAAAATACTCCATGATTAATATTAATCTAAAAACTTTGAAACTCATAATGGTAAAAACCCTAGATTTAACAATTTAATTCCCCTAACGCCAGCGACTTTCACTAATACTTCTCTGTCCCCCGCGTCTGTAAATTCATCTTCATTTTTCTCAACTTCGTCTACCACGACACTCGGGTTGTTGTCAACACCAACTTTCCCACGTAATAATTTGAATACCTTGTCTTCATCCATTTCTAGCACTTTGACAGCCATGAATAGTTCTCTTGTTGGCAAAATATCTAACGCACTTAATACGTTTGTCAAATAACCTAAATCTGTTAATAACTGTTGTGTACCATGCGACGATAATTGTGGAATTGCCAATATTCTTTCCAGTAGGGCATGCATCGTTCCTCGTGCTACTGAAGTTATCCACGCATGAGTCACTTCTTCAGTTGACATTTCCTCTTGATCAATCAATTGCGATGAAGAATTGGAAATTACAGATAGGTTAGTGTTAATTTTATCTTCGTCAATCGCTAAAGTTGCACCATTTTCACTTGCGATAGTAATAGATGGTTGCAAGCTTTCTACATCAACGGATGCTTTTGAATCGTTGGTGGTAACAAACTCCTCAATTGTGATGTCTCGTTTCTCACCCTCTTCTTTATTATCAATCGGTTGCATAGGTACCTCGTCACTATAAGGTAACGATCTAATGGAAAACGCCAATGATTTATCATCAGCATAAACTTCGAATTGTTGCGGCAAAGTCAACAGATGTTCACCAACTCTCGTGATATATTCTGATGGTGACAAGCTAAATGTTGGCATCTCTAAGTTAAATGGCGACACTTGCACAGGCTCGGTTGCCGCTTTCCAAATTTCCATCGTAGGCAGATTAACCAAATGTTTGACTATTGGTAAAAATATTGTGTCATATACAAATCGTTGGCATGATTTTATAAAAGTCTCGATCGACTTTATTGACGGTTCCAGCAATTGTCGCGATTCCAGATTGGTCAAGAGATCATACAACTGATAGCTATTCAACGTTGATTGTCTTAGAAGGTGTAATGAGGATTGTGTGCCGATTGAGAAACTTTTATTATAATCTGGAACCGTTGGTGACCTTCGCTCATACCATTCTAAATGATCATCGGGTAGATCATGATCAATTAAAGTTTTTACGGTAGATAATGTCGTTTTTGTCAACATCTCAAGCGCATTCAATCTATCCGAAGCTAGTTTACATGTCGCCAGCAATCGCAGACCAATCTGAAAGTTTGACCAATCTTCCTGCTGCAATCGGTCCTGATCATAATCAAAATAATCCTGCGCCAGTGATGTGCTAGTAGATGACATGGATGATCGAGTATCTTCTTTTAACCCACAGTCTACACGTAATTGGTCCAACAGAGTCTGATATTCCTTGACGACTTCCGAAAAATAATAATTCAACACGTCCACGAGCCCGACTCCAGAAAATCCATGGGTAAGGGCCATACACCTTTGTAATCCACTCTCAGCCAATGAAAATATCTTCCCGACGTTGTCAGCCATAATCCTAGCCAAATCATCAGTTCCGGATTTCCTCTTTTCTTCTATGGATCGCTTTAGCATGTCCACCAAATAATTCTTCTCGAATTCCGAATAATCATGTTGATACTCTAAGAAAGGTTCAAACACCATTTGGCCCCATGTGGCGAGATTTACTTTTGAAAGGAAACTTTCCGCGCCACCACCAACGGTGCCGTTGGCTGTTAAGTTTCGACTCCCGGCTGAACCGATTTGAATAGGATTGAACAATACCTTTTCCATTTGTCTCCCAAAATTTTCGCTGACGATAAAAGCATTGATAATTTCGATCAGGCATTGTTCATTATAATGTTCTACCAGACCAGCTAATCGAGCACTCAATGGGGGTTTTAACGAATTGAAAATATTCTCAATTAGCGCTATCAAAGTTTCGTTTGTATCCGGAAATACATTCCCACACCAAGTATACTCTTCATTTAGCACCACAAATAATTCTTGAAGAAACTCCTGCCAGTATTCAACGAATTTCTTTTGTGTCTTTGGAGATGGCGGCCGATCTTGTAATGCATTAATGTTACCTGTAGCTGTGCTGGGAGTAGCAGTCGTGATAATTTGACTAACATCTGTGAACTTTGCATTCTGCCACATTTTTACCAGAGGTGCTTTCCTCGATCCGTAGTAATAATTACAAAATTCTTTTTTCCTACCAATTTGACTAAATATCAAGTAGAATTTTTGGCAAGCGCTAATGTCATGTTGACTAAGGGCGGCTACAAGTTGAGGACTAACAGTTGCTTCCAATTGATTCTGTAACTCGGTGAGCAACTTTCTTCTTTCATCATACTCCGGAGTATTTTGAAAGATGACCAAGCTCTTCTCAGCCTCTTGCAGTCTCACGGCTGCCTTTTGATAATCCTGCGATGCAAATATGGTGCTCGCCTCGGTTTCCAAATTACTCCAATTCTCGGCCTCCCTCAGTACATTCCTTGACAATTCCATGCGTGTTTTTACAAGGTCCAGGTACTTGAGTCGTTCAACGGCCTTTCCAGTATTATCTTCAATTTTTCCAAGCGAAGATTTGACCAATGAAATACCCCGTTTTAAATTCTCGGAACTCTGTTGCGTCATCTGCAATTCGGATATTATGGTTGGCATGTTTTTCATCACCCCTTCGATGGTATTCTCTAACCGAAGTGAGACATCCTGATTAAGATGTTGAAGCTTTTCTGTGATCTTTGATGCGTGATTTTCTAATTTTAATAATCTTTGTTCGTTGGATTGAATTTGTTCATTCGTCTCGTCAGGAAAAGAGTGAAGAGATGTGACACTTGATAGTGCTTCGTTTATCCATGTTTTGACATTGAAATCTTTAGCCAAAAATGCGGAAAAATCTATGGAATCGCTTGTTTGGGTTTCTGTTATTATTCGTAGGGGAGAATCCTGTCCCGTTATATTATGTATATTTTGTGGAGTTGATGAAGTATGCATTTTTGTGCACATTCGCAAATTTGAGCGGATCCACAATTAATTTTAGAGGTAACATCAATGTGTAACATCGAGGTGCAGAGCAGAGAAACACACGCCAAAAAATTGATGATCACTTTCATCGTTTGCATTTCACAAGTACTGTGCTGAAACTTTGATTTCAAGAATGGCCGAAACAAACTTTGAAGTCGAGCTAGATGATGAACCCTCCATTCCAACAGGCGATCAACTTGATATCCAAGAACCTATTTTAAGTAAAAACGAATTATACGCATGGTAAAACTTACCAATTGGACAAGTAAACGTATAGATACTATGACTTTTGCACGAAAATAACGATAATTGATCCAATGCGTAAATCGCTTTTTTTTTTTTTTTGTTTTCATCTACAGGTACCTTTACGCCTTTGCATGTGAGGTTTATGCGGTAGTATCATTAACAAGTTTTATACCCCTTATTTTAGAGCAGTTTTCATTTGAAAAAGGGGTATTAAACACTGACCACACGATTCCCTGTAATAATTCTACTGCTTTCTCTATCTCAGAAGAAGTACGATGTGTGGTGAATGTCTTTGGAATCTGGGTTGACACGGCTTCGTATAGTTTGTATACGTACGCATTTAGTGTGGTCTTGCAAGCCATTACAGCCATATCAATTGGTGCAACTGCAGACCACGGGGCAATGCGCAAAACTCTGCTCTTGAGCTTTGCCTTTGCAGGAAGCGTTTCAGCAATGTTATTCTTATTTGTTACCCCTAGTTTGTTCTTACTTGCTGGAGTTTTCACGATTGTCGGAAATGTTTGTTTCGGCGCATCATTTGTATGTTTTAATGGATTTCTGCCGGTATTGGTTAGAAACCATCAGGACGTAAGGAAAATTTCTAGTCAAATTAGATCATACATTGCCAAAAAGAACTATACACCGTCAGATGAAGGGAATCATAATTTGGAAGAGGATCATAATAATTTCGAAGAAGCAAGTCTCCTAGCAACCCACAATCAACAATCGTTGGATCCAGAACTATCCAAGCTTTCAGAGGATCTAGAAAAAGAGAAAGATCGTATTTCTACACATATATCCACGCGAGGTTTTGCCTCTGGTTATTTCGGTGGGATTATACTCTTGATAGTCTGCTTGATCATCTCGTTTCTTTTGAATTCTACGGTATTTAGTTTGCAAATTGGAGTATTCTTGTCAGGAGCGTGGTGGTTTTTATTTTCCTTGTTGGTTATTAAGTGGTTAAGACCTAGGCCAGGGCCACCATTGTACCTGGATAATGGAAGAAAAGTTGGATGGTTCGATTATATTATATTTGCATGGACACGATTATGGAGAACGGTGAGACACGCAAAAAAGTTGGAAATGTCGTTTAGATTTTTGGTGGCCTGGTTCTTTATATCAGATGGTATTTTATCCTTGCGCGCGCATTTTGTTAATCAACTTACACAGGTGATTTTTACTATTGAACCATTGATGATTATTGTCTTCAAATAGGATACACCACGATAACTTCAGTAGCTTTGCTGTTTGCCAAAACCACATTACACGTCCCGGATACTGGTCTCATAATTATAGCCTTAATAGTTCCGGTGGTAGGATTGATAGGAGCTATTCTATTTCCAAAGATACAAAAGCAGTTTGATCTTACAACCAAACAAACGATAATACTACTGAACATTATGTTGTTATGCATACCAATTTATGGTTGCCTGGGATTTGTACTGCCGGTGGGAGGGTTAAGGTCGGCACATGAACTGTATTTCTTGGCAGCGTGGTTTGGCTTTGCGATTGGGGCTATACAAAGTTACTGCAGAACTTTGTTCGGCGAACTGGTTCCTCGTGGACGCGAAACAGAATTTTTTGCATTATATGCAGTTACAGATAAGGGATCTAGTTGGCTGGGACCGACCATGGTGGCAATCATTACCGGTAAGTTAATGGCATCATATTTTTGTTTTCAATTCTTATTTACTTGCACGAACCTATCTGACCTTTTTCACCGTCTAGATACCACACATGAAATCAGATATGGTTTTGCTATACTACTCATCCTCCTTTTACTCCCCATTCCAATTCTATTGTCAGTTGATGTCATTAAAGGCAAAGCCGATGCGGCAAAATCATCCGAGAACGAAGATTAAGAATTAATCTCGTTGAATAATGTCAGTAATGAAGATAAATTTTCACTCGGAAATTTCTAGGTAGTTTTAACAATAAATATTTAAGTTATGTATTAGATTAACTGTGAATGTTGGCAAACGGCTATTGTATCCCTACAGATTCATGTGTATAGTGCTTTTATAAGATGCCAGAATGGATTTGGTTAATAAATTTATTTTATCATTAATTTTCATTAATTTAAAACAAGGCTTCAGTTAAAATTTTTTCTCTTCAGGGATAAAGTTGACCCTGCTGGTATCTCCACTTTTCGTTATCAATCTTTTTTATTCCTTGTTTTCCCCATCACTGCTTGACTACTCCTTTTCGAACATCATACTCTTTTTTAAGCGTTGCGACAACCCCTCTACAATTTTTTCTCATTGTATCTCCACTTGGAATCTCACTAAACTCGATTTCAAAAAGTTCCTTCGGATATTTAAGCGCGTCCTTGGGTTTTATTACTTTTCGGTAAATATGTTCCGCTATTGATAACACGTATAAGCCGCATTCTGATGTAATAAATAATCTGAGTGAATTAATGGCGATAAAAGTAGCTGCATGGGTAATAAGAATTAAATGTTACCGTTTCCTAAAAGATTTTACACAGGAACATAATTTAAGAATTATCTTCGACAGAAACAAATGACTTTATATGAACGAATAAAAACTTGCATACCATTTTGTTGTTGCGGTACCCTCATATTACGTACTGAGAGAAATAAGACACAAAAGAATTTGAGATTTTAGAACCTTGACACATGGTATTTCAATGCGAAAGACAAAATCACGTCCATCACCTTTTCCTATACCAAATAACTTTTTTGCAACTTTTTTCGCCGCGTTGGTATTTATCCCAGATGCACTATCATAATGCAAGCACTCATTCATATCTCTGACATAAACCATCAAAGACCAATGACTGCCTCCTAGAGCGACGGTCACGTCTGGATTATTATTTATCACCGAGAATATCACTGGCGCAGAAGTAAATTGTGGCGCGACTAGGATTGACAGGTCCGTTCCACCTTTAATTATAGGAAGGATGTTAGGTGATTGACTGGATATCTATCTTCGAGGGAACTTAAATGTGTGACTAGTGAATATTTACTTGGTAGATTAGACAAAAAAAACGTCATGGCCGCACTACAAATAAAAATAGCTTTCTCAGAGTCATCCTCAGGGGCAACTGTATGCGCAAGATACCTTTGGGAAAGAAACGAAATTAAATAAAGCAAATGCAAAATCCAAAATAGACACGTTCCAATCAGTCGTAACAAAAGGACATTATTATTAAATACTGACTCTAAATATAGATCGATGCATTTGTCATTAAGCCAGCACCCATCATTGAAGAGCATCACCGCCTTTGATCACACCAGCAAAGAAAAATCACTGATCACTTAGTCCGCTAAAAATCAGCAATTGAAAATAAAGACGCATTCGTCTATCACGTTTACTCTTGCACACCTCTTCGTCAATATCAGCGTCATGATAAGTTAGATAAGGCATCACGGTTATGTGCGGAATTAAAAAAGAAGACCCGAAGAAAGAAATTTTGGTAAATGACAAAAAAACTTCAGCAAAAACTCGTGAGAACGTGATTCGGAGAATTTTTCGTGGTAACTTTGCCGGTGAGAACGTCGGTTTCTGTTAATGTATAATACTACGTTCCTAATTAATTACGGTTAGTTCATTTTCGTAAGTTGATGTTTAAGTACACAATATTGTATGTAACAAATTACCCGGAGACAATAAATAAATCAGAAACAGATCTTCATATATTAAAAAATCGACGTGACAGGTTATTTTCCAAGATGACCTGATGCATAGTAAGTGACTGACTAACTGGTAAGGTCAATATTCAATTATCTGAATTAGACTAAAAAACCTGACGTAATCATCAGTTCGACGGTAACATAAAAAAAAAAAAAAAAACTTTATTCACATTATGAAATACATTATACGCATGCTGTAAGAATAACATTGCACCGCATTAAAGTAAAACTGAATGCACAAATTTTCATTGCGTAATGATGACGAATTTAGAAACTCAAAAGATACAAATAAGTCATTTGGTGTGAGTCATGATATTTTTTGGAAGTGCACCATAAACTTATTCTTATCATGCATATCAATCATTCTACTGTATTCTATTCTATTGTGATCTGCATTTCACCCAAATTCCAAAATCGGAATGTATAATTTTGGAACTTGGTGCATGGGTATTACAGATTGTTCATCTGATCTCGCCCTTAAGTAGACGGCACATATGTAGCACGTAGCATTGAAGCAAGATCAGGGAATTTGGTCAGGGCGTATATATAAACATATGTAAATCATACTTTCCGTTTATTTCAAATAAATTTTTCTGAATATTCAATATGAGTTTTTCAAAAAGACTTTCGTCATTTCTAAATAAGCATATAAAACGACCGGGGTAAGGTTATTGAGATATTCCCTCCTCGCATATTTGTTCATTATTCAAGTGAATAAAACAGCTCATTGAATTATTTATGTATTAATTCTCCAGAAACAAGGTAAAGACGAGAGATGCAGGTATAGTAATTATCGTTATCATCTTATTCGTCCGTAACACTCCAGTTTCCCAATTTAATCATTTCTCCTACAACAGATTCTACATTACGATACAATGGCGAACTGAAAAATGTTCCTTTACCCACGGATGATTTTTCCTTATTTAATGATGATCCTCTCTTTAGCTCATTAAAAGAATCGACGCCTGTTAGTCCTCCGAAAACTAATGATCAGACGACTCCAAAATGCCCCAAATGCGATGGAGATCTCAGTAGTTGGGATTACAAGAACGGTGTTCTTTATAATTTCTGGTGCAACGCTTGCGAATCCAAGGAACTGCAGCAGAATTTCTCTAATTGGACTAGCGGGGATCCCAATATTGACAAGTTAATCCAGGATTCTCAATTGAACATTGGGTATAATATGAGCTACCTAGAGTGGATCCCGTACGAACAGATTCGGCATATGAAAGAAATTGGAAGAGGCGGTTATGCTACTGTTTATTCGGCCACGTGGGCAGATGGTCCAAGAGGGCAATGGAATGAGGAAAAGAAAATATGGGACCGATGCGGGGAGCGTCAAGTGGCCGTAAAGGTTTTTCACGATTCGGCTAATATCAACCCAGAATTTTTAAATGAGGTATTTGTGACCTATCATTTCTTTAAACAATTATTTTTTGCACGGTTCTAATGGGCTTGCTTTCTTTCAAATCGAAAACTAGTTAAAATTGCATTCACGTTATTTTCGTGATTCATATATTCTCCAATACTATGGGATTTCGCGACAACCATCAACAAACGACTTCGTGTTAATCCTCGAATTTGCAAATATGGGAAATCTAAGAAACTATTTACAATCTAATCCTGATATCACGTGGAGTCAGAAATTGGATATTTTGGAATCTCTGGTCCTCGGTCTGTCACAAGTGCACAATAACGCGAATCTGACTCACAAGGATCTTCATCCTGGTAATGTTCTTCTGTCTAATCTCGGTTTCATGGATAGCGAACCAATTATCGTGACATCTTTGAGCGACTTTGGATTGACCAAACCGGCAAATTCTACGCCCGAATCATCATCATCTACACACACGCTATACGGAGTGATGCCTTATGTAGCACCCGAAGTTTTACAAGGTTCTCCCTTTTCCAAAGCGTCGGACGTATTTAGCTTGGCCATGATAATGTGGGAATTATCTTCAGGAAAACCTCCTTTCCATGATCGCCCACACGATCGCGAACTTGTTCTTGATATGTGTAAGGGCGTTCGTCCGGATATTGCGGCCGGGACTCCCAAATGTTTTGCTGAATTGATAATGTCTTGCTGGGATACAATGGATTATAACAGGCCCACCATACAAGTGATTGCACATACCTTGATCACTTGGACAAGAGAACTTAATAACATAAAATCAGGAGATTACTATAAACAATTTAAAGAATCCGACGAAAAACGATTGAAGGAAGACTCGCAGGAAGTGACCCTTCATCCACAAGCCATATTTACAAGTCGTCCTTTAAATTCATTTAATAAGCATGTATTGAGATAATATCCGAAACCCGCCAATCTTTCAAAATTATTTTGAATATAAAAGATTGTATTTACCTGTTTATATAATACATACATTTTTTTAAGTATTTTATTATCTTCTCTTTAATTTATCCAATCTCTTTTATCCCTTCCCTTTTATTCAATCATAAATTTATTACCTCGAGAAAATTGATTAATAATGTAAAGGGTAGTAAATATTCATTATATCAAATACTGTATACTGTATATCCAATAACTATAACCAATCTCATCATTAGAAAAAAATCAACGTTTCATGATTGTAGAAGTATAAAACTATAACTTTCTTAATAAACTTCACTACCATGAGTGATAGATACCCTTGTGCCTCTTTTCGCGTGTGCGCTTAACTGTCGTGTCACTAGTATTTGCCTCTGGTCTGCTAATTATCAAAACAATAAATCTGGTGAGCCGGCCTGTCAATGTTATATTTGATCTCTAATTTAATAATTTGCAGCATAATTTATTAAAAAGAAAATTAATCGACAGTACGTACATGACATGAAGGGAATACGAAGCTTAAATTTCAATAGGTTACACATTTTTCGTTTTAGAACTCGACAGATTTATTGGTCAATATTCTACGAACATCAACGAAATTCTTACTGTCCTATAAGAAATGAACAAGAAACTGTAAACCTTAGGATAACGAGAGCTTTTGACATGGCGCGGTTAGTCTATGTCTTCCTCTTTGAAAATTTCATTAGGTTAATTCAACACGTACTATGGATGCGTCCAATTATGGCCAAGTCTTTGGAAAACGCACTTTCAAAAGCTTCAAAAGCATTTTAATTTCCGTTCATTCACCAAAATGTGTGAAAATTCGTTATCGTGGAAAGATATCGAAAAAGGCCATTTGAACTTATCAAATATTACCAATTCTTTCCAAGCACCCAGACGAATACGTGACGTGATAACGCGTTACGTCATTATTGAACACATAAAATATAATATCTCGGAAATAGAGAAATAGTTTCAGAGCAAAACAAGGTTCAATAGGTTCTTGAATTGGGCGCGCTGTCGAGGGAACTGCAGCTAGATCGTACAGTACAGTATTTAAGAGACAAGGAAAAACAGGGTTAAACAAGAAATATTGATAAGTTAAATACACGCCTCAAGATTCAAATCAAAGCCTCGATTTTTGCTATAGCGTATTTAAACTTTCCGACGCTCTTCACACTTGACCAGTTTAATAACCGATATTGTATTTATTATTATGGCATTTAATAAGTAAAAAAAAAATAATATGCATATGCAATAAAGTATATAGTAAACACGTCATTTAGCTAAAGCATAGAATGAGTATAAACAATATTCAAGATTTTAATATTGACCGAATCCTCATTTGAAAATTTATAAAAAAAAAAAACATAAATTAATAAATATCTACTTGGTGGTTTTTTTAAAAAAAAACTCTGAAACAAAAAACCATTATAAATAATGAAAATTTCAAATAAGGTTCTTATAAATCAACAACAATGCAAAAAAAAAAAAAAAAACTTGCTCAAATAATTAATAATAAATTTCTGATAATTTGTTTTAACTTATACTGATTAATATTATAAAAAATAGATTTATATTATATGATTTTGAATTTTTTTATTAAAATAATAATAACAGATAATTATATAACATTTGAGAATTTCAAAAAATCAATACAAAATCAAAGACATTTATGAATATTATAAAAATTTGTTAAAACTGCATATTGTGAATTCAACATTTATCATTTCATATACTGTATAATTATTTTAAGATCAATAGATTATTTTTGCGTGAATAAATTTTTTCTAGTATAATTTATCGATTTTAATTAATTGCAAATGATCAATAATCAGATTAATTGATAGCAATACATAAATTAATAACTCGGTTATTATAATTTTTTTATTTGAATTTTTTTATTACCATAAATTCACGAAATAATATATATAAATATTTATTTACACTAAATTAATTAATTAATTAATTAATAAAAATGATAATGAATTTTAAATAACTATCATCTTATTGTCATTAATTAATTAATCAAGATTATTTAAAAATTAAAAAAAAATCATTTTATTTTATAAAGCCTTTAAATCGTATACATTAAATAATTTTTTTATTAAATAAAATTGATTATTTTATTTTATTTTATTTTATTTTATTTTATTTTATTTTATTTTATTTTGATTCTAATTTGATCTTTAAAAATAAAATCAAACAATAATAAATATCGTCAATATACGTATATTTATTTAATTATAAAATAAAGATACATCAATTAATTGTGAAAATATTATAATTTACAATTTAAAAATAAATACCGCATATAAGCATAATTTATTTTAAAAATTTACCGTTGTCGTGTCTACCACCAAATAATACTGCGCGCGTGAACGGTGAGTACCTTATCGCAAAAGTTTTTTGCATTATTGTAATTAAAAAAATTTGATCGGCTGTATATGAATTTAGATTATGATAAATTAAAAGATAGAATTGAGACTTTTTTTCTTTATGTACCGTACCAAGAGTTTTTCTTAGCATCGCGATCATCGATCCTTGTGTCCAATTATAGAAAGTACGTGTAACACTTCTTTCATCGACATATGTACATACGACAATCCCTAAATACTGTGCGTATTCGATTAGAGTTCGGAATTCTCAAAGAGCGTTCTTTTACCAAAGTTCAAAAAATGATTGAACAAAATAAGGATATGACATCAGATAATGAAACACTGACACAACCAATACCATTTATTCCATCTTATTTTCCTAAAACCTTGATGCAACAGAAATACAGGTTTTTCAAAGTTCCCAAGAATTTACCGACCGAATGGAATAAAGATGATTCTTTAGAACATATAAAAGTGTTAAATAATGGACTCCGCATTGAATATATAGGTGAGTTTTCCAGAAAACATGATAATCTCAATTGGTTTTCTCATTTCCAGTGAGAATTCTATTCTTTCTAGCGATAATTTACGATGCCCTAAATGGAATATGTACATGTAGGCATTCAACGATATTGTTTATTGATTGAATCGGTTTTCTTTATGTTGAAAAATGAATAGGACCTGGAGTAAACATCTGGAGGGATGCCGCGGCTATTAGAGCAAATCATCCTATTCCTTCCGAAGTAGGATTTTACTACTTTGAAGTTAATATCATTGACAAAGGTTCCCGTGGGTAAATTTTCCAAGTCTTTTTTTTCCTCATACGAATCCAAAAGTATTTATTTTATTTATTTATGGGAAAAATTATAGAAATATAGGTGTCGGACTAACGAAGAAAAATGTTCCACTTAATCAGATGCCAGGTTTGTCCATTAAAAATAAATTTTGTATTTATAATTATTGCTCAATGGAGATTCTTTGCGATAATTAGGATGGGTGCCAATTTCGTATGGGTATCATGGTGATGATGGTTTGGCGTTCAAAAAAGGACAAGGATCAGAATACGGGCCCTTGTACTCAGCAGGTGATACTATAGGATGTGGTATAAATTACTACGACAGGACTATCTTTTTTACAAAAAATGGTATAAACTTGGGTAAGTAATTTTTTTGGCATTCGTCAAATCAGTGAAGACCGATTGTATTTTGTTTTAAGATGATGTTTAAATGACTCCTTATAGGTATTGCATTTAATAATGTGAGCAATAAGGAATTATATCCAGTGATTGGATTGATTAGCAAAGGAGAGTGTGTCGAGGCAAACTTTGGCGCAATGCCATTCAAGTTTGATATCACTTTTTATTCAAAGGTAATTGTCAATTATTTCAAAATTTGATCACTTTTGGGGATCAATCAAGTGATCAATGTAACGAATGTTGATGATTAATTGTTTACTCATGGTACTAACAGGAAATATTACTTTGGGAAACATCTATAGGGAATATTTAAATCGGCGGGAGAAAGAATATGATAATTATCCCTAAAGATGTTTTTTAGAATGACTACAGAATGTAAGACTATGAATTCATCATTGAATCAAAGACAGGAGAACTGTTAAACTGCTTATTGCAGGAATTATATACATGACCTTAGAATTTTTCGATAGATTTATATTTTTTTTATAATTACTTTAAAGATTTTTTTTTGTTTTTTTTTTTTTTTTAATGAATGATGATGACAACCTTTACGTTTAAAAGATTATACAAGGAATGAAGTTCATTTCACCATATTATATTTCTTGATTTTTTATCCTAAAATTATGTACAGTTGGACTCAAATGAACGAGTTGAACAAGACACTTTGATAGGTTTTTTCCTATATATAATGTTAATTATTTAGAAGCAAAATAGCATATTTTCTTTTACTACTTCATTAATGGATGTACTGTATAACACCTGAACAATCATAGAGAAATATAATGATAGAAATCAGCTTATAATATGAAATTGTTTATATCTTGATTTTTAAATGTTTGCTCGATTTCAGGTAAAAAATTTTAATGACGGGGTAAATATGAAAAGGAGTCGGATATTTAGTGTATTTTGGCAATAACGCTTTATTTTAAGACATGAAGAAAGTTTATATTTAATGATTATTTGATTCATAGAATATTTACATGAAACATCAAGTCATTCGGATACCAATCAAAACATGAGTACTTAAAAAAAAAGATTTGTCTTTTTATAATAAAACTTCTCTATTAATTGCTCTTAATTAATTATTATATAACAAGCATGCATCATAGATCAGGAACCAATTAGTTCGTATGAAATTGGCTTTTCAGATAAACTATCATAGCAGATAAACCATCTAATTAATGATGGATGATGAAACAGTAAAAATTTGAACGATTAGATATCACTCTGGCCTGGTTTTATCGTACGGAATTTTGATTTTGGTTCAGCCTGGCTACGAGATTATCAATGTGTTGATCAAAGAACACAACCTGATGTTTTATGTCTCCAAAAGAATAAGCCGGCTATGAAAATTTCTAGAACTTGGTACTTTGATATTTTTAATGCTACTTAACACGGCCGCAGGAAAATAAGAATGATCGTACATAATAAAAAAAATTATATCAACAATTACAAATTCATGTGTTCAAATAAGCATATGAGATATACCAGCCATGATTCATTTGCTAATAAACTTGTTTTTTTAAACAAAAAATTGTGTATCATAAATGATTTTTTTGTAGAAATGCGGTATGATATGAATATCGAATCTTTTAATACAAATAGTTTTTTCGAAGTAAAAAACCAATATCATTTATAAATAAACATCGTTAAAATGATTTTTGTTTTTTTTTTAATATATGAAATAAAAATTTTATTAAAAAAAAAATAAGATAAGTAAACGATAAATCTTTTGTCAATAACCAATCATCATTATTGTATATATCGTTATTGTTATGAAGATAAATTAATATAAACATAATTGATAATTAAATTGTATAAATGTCAAAAAATAACAATAATAATAATAATAAGGGCATATTAATAATATAATAATTTTATTAAATAAGTCAAATTTGATTTTTTACAATTATTAATTGTAAAATTTAATTAATAGAAATAATGACAATAATATTTTGAAGAGTATTTTGCAAAAAATTAGTATATAAATAATAATTGTTTATTATTAAATAAAACTTTACTTATAATACAGAAACTTTTATTGGCTACTTATTTGAAATTAAAAATTTTTAAATTATTTCAAAAATATACTCTTTTAATAGGAATTATTTTTTCAATTATTTTATTTATTTATTTATTTTTATTTGAATTTAAATAATAACAAACTATTTTTTTTCTATTGTTTATTAAGGAACTTTCCTACTACTGTACAGTACTGTAAATTGTTATCCTGTTCTATAAATAATTCATATTTTCTGCGGTTCGGTTAATATATTGAATAAACCCATTTCATAACTTTTTGGTGAACTTTTCAGTTACGATTTCAACATTTAGTTGATTTTTTTATAATCAATATTTAATAAACCATATAATTAAAACATTTTATTTACAAGTTAAAAAAACTTATTATAAATTATCATTGTTATTACTTATTATTTTTTTAAAAAAAGATTTGATAGAATAATAAATTTATTTTTTATAATTACTAAGTAGCTATTCAATAATTTTAATCTAAATTTTATTAAAAATTTGTAAAGAATTAGTAAAAGAAATATTAAAAAAATAATAAAATAAATTTAATAAAGTTTGAAATATTATAGTTAAAAAATGAAATCAAATTCTAAAAAGTATATATAAAAATTTGATTAACTTAATACAAATATAATATTAACAAGTTATTGATATATAAAAAGAAAGAATTAGTTATTAATAAATATATTAATTTATTTTTATACTTTTATATTACAAATTAATTATATTAATTACTGAATTAATTATTAGTTATTAAGTAAATAGTAATTTAAAATTTTTAAAATATAATAATAATTTTGAATATTTATAAATTTAAAGTTTAAATATTAACTATAATAATAATAATTTTAATTAAACTTTTGTATTATATTAAACTTTAAATTTTAAAATCCAGGTATTAAATTATAAAAGTATTAACTTTTAATTATATTAAATCTTATACTATATAGTAATAACAGTAATATATATATATATATTTATAATAATAATTAAATAAATAATTAATAACAACAACAAGAATTGAAAAAAACTCTTTCTCATATTGTTAGTATAAAAATTGTAATAGGGGGCATGACGCGACACGTGGGGTCCGGCATGGTGCTGCATGGAGCATCGATCATATATCAATCATGCATGATTGATGGGTGCCGAGTTTGTAGAAGTTTAGTAATTTTGCATGACGCGGTAATAGATTAAAAAGATGTGTCGCAATAGTATAAATAGCCAATGTACTCAGAACAGAAAGAGAGACAAGAAAATTAATAAAATATTGATTTTGCGAAATCCAATTGCTTGTACCAGTGCAACGATAATTAATAAACTTATCTTATTTGTCATTTAGTCATCCTAGAAAGGATCTGC